AGTAAAAAATATATGTTTCAAGAGAGATCCAGAGAAGGCATTAGAATGAGCTAATGCTTTTTATGAAACAGTGCTGCTATTTGAAGTTTTGGGTAAAGACATTTTAGCAGAACATGGGGTGATGGAAGGGAGATTCCTCAAGTGTAAATATCATATATTGGTGAATTTCACAAGGTCTACTGTCTGACTGTCTGTTAATTATCATAATTATCATATCTTTTGTTTGTTTTTTCTCAGGATTACGCAAAAAACTCCAGCACAGATTACTACAAAACTGTGGTGCAGATCCTGGGGGGCAGATCCATGATTTTTTTTTTCTCACTTTCTTCACATTTTCTTTGATTTGGTGAGGATCCGTATAAAAACCTAGATCTAGTGAATATAAATGTGGTTTCATAAGAGGACTGTTGGGCCTTGGTGGATGTATGTGATTATTTGAGTGCCAGTCTAGTTTTAGATTTAGTTGTAATCCATATTACATGTTTAGTTTACCGTCACCATTCCTCAAAAAGCCTAATAAATGTGTTAAATATATTATAAAAACATTGTCAGTGTTATTTTTTATTTAATTTATTTGTATTCCCTGTTTTGATATGAAACATTGCATCACTTGCAGATTTCCTCTTCCCTGCTCTTGCTGCATTCCAACTATCAATGTGCACAAGACGCTGACAAAAAGGAAAAATACACTAAACTCTCCATAGAGCTCCTGTAAGTTAAAAACATTAGATGATGCCTTTAATAGTAAGAGGCAGACACTCGACTTATTCCTGGTGTTGTGCTGTGCAGCTACTGAAGCTGAGGTCACCTAAGTTTATACATTAGAGGCATTTTTCTCTGTAGACATGTTGGCTTGTCATCGTAGGGAAAGAACAGGTGTAAACATTAACGATGGTGCTGCTCTATTTAAGCCTCCCAGTGAGCCATGACAGGGGTGACAGTGAGTCAGCGCGACTCGGCGGCTAAATGAAATTCAGGCATCATTAATTTTATTTTTTAAACCTGCGTTTTTCCAACTGTGACACTGAAATGTCTCATCAGCTGTCCTGCCCTCAAAAAGTGAGAGAAAGCTAACATGGGTGTCAAGGTCAGCGTGTTCTCACCCACACAGTCCTGAGGAGAGGGTTGATCAGGCAGCGTGAGTGAAAACAGGATGTGCAGAGCATTTGAACATGTGAGGACGTGAATGAAATAACACTATGAATGTGAACATTTGAGGTTATAGGCTAAAAAATCCTATTGCCCTGCAGAGGCCTTTTCATGATTTGATTTAAAAGTGTATTACTACCAATCTCGCAGAACAGACAAATAATTCAGGTTTTTATGGATTTATAATGTACACAGTTTATATGTGCACTTTTAACAGCGTAATACCTTCTACCTACCTATAATTTATGTGTGTGATATCTGTAAGGATTTTTTATTATAAGAATATTTATATATACCCATCTATAAACCTACCTACCCACCAACCCATCCATCCATCATACTTATGCTATATGTCTCTTCAATGTCTATTTAATCTATGCACAAAATCCAAATCTTTAAAAGAAAGCCCATCAAAAATCCCAATCTAAAGCCCTCGAACTGTTAATGTATTCATGTTCTTGCGGAGGAATACTGACCATGTTTCATTTTAATAGTTGTACAGTTTGAAATAATAATTATACACAACATAGTGATAAAAGCTTTAAGATGCAGAATGCACAAGCTGCAGTTGCCCACATTAAAACATGAGGTGCAGTTTAAAAATAAGGTGCAGGTTGTCATTAACAAGGCGTATGTGCATCACTTATCTACATATTTATTACAGTTGTGCATTTATAAGAAAGAAGGTAATATCAGTTAAGTGTTGCTACGTTTTTTATTATTCAGCATGGGGGAAAAATTATAATGGAGAATTTTAAGTGCCAGCTGAGGCTTATAAATTATCCCATGAACCCTTCAATATGGTAATTTACAACTCTGCAGGGCTGACTTCATTCAAGGAAGAAAACAAATATCAGCCATGCATGGAAGAGAAAAATCTCACAGGGAGAGAGAGTGAGCTGCTGAAACACTTAGCAACCATCTGCTGTAAACATGCTTCATGTCTCTGTTCATATACTGTAAACTGTGAAGTGCTTTACATTTCATATGAAAGGCAAATGGGTTTTTGCTCTCTTTGTGTAACCTGATCAGAACCAGTTGCGACTGTGCTGTGAACAGTGGGAGGTATGAATTAATTGGCTTCACTGTATAATACTGAAGTAGGGACATCATACAACCCGTCTTCCTTGTTGAATAATGTAAGGCTGCAACTTGTGTCTGCTTAAATTGATGACTAAGCATTTTCCCTCTCTTAAACATGAATAAACCTCGTAGGTTTCTAAAATGTTCAAATATAGTTCAAAATGCCACAATGTTTCTGAGGTGATGTTTTCAAATTGTCTTTTTGTCTGACCAACAGTGTAAAACACAAAAGTAAATTCTGCCAACTTTCACTGAAGACTATACAAACTAGCAATATTCACATTTCAGAATTCAGTGCCTCTTTTTTTAACAGTTTCAATCTTTTTTTAACCCCATTAATTTGTCATGTTAAAGTTCAAGCCTCTACCTGGAAAACAAAAGAAAAAGCCTTTAGAACGCAGTGTTGCAGGGCTCATACATGCCAAACAATTTTCTTTATAAATTTGGTCGTATGTATGCTATCAAAACCAGCATTAATGCATTTAATCGAAGAACAATAATAATTTAGTTGCAAATTTGTGAAAGAATAAGACAAAACAGAGATGTGTGACAAACACTGATGCTGAGGGAGCAGAGAAATCAAGTAGAATTTCAGATGGCAGATGAAACAAATGAAATCTAACAGCACCAGTAAAAACACAAATTAAAAGATCTCAATGTCAGATGTGTAATTGTACATCAGCAGCGTCAACAGCAGAAACAAGCTAATTCGACTGTCACTTTGTATTCATCTGCTCTGGAAACTTTGCTTTTAAAGCATCTAACAAGTCATAATGGCTTAATAAGGCTGCACATAAACAGCATCGCTTTGATGAAGAAATGTTGTCTAATAAATATTTGCCTGTGAATAGATCAACATCATCAGCATCGACAGCCTGAGAGGCACACATGTATTTTTTATCACTCGTGACAGCTTGGCGGGAGAAATGTTTCACAGCTCAGCAATTTGGGAATACAGTGTATTTGCTTTGAAACTGATTTGGGGGAAAATAAGTTGAGTTTTCAGCATCACAGGCCAATAGCTGCCTGCTTTCTGGTTTGTGACGCAACTTTGTTATGCTCCTCAGAGTACAGCTAAGTTGTTCAGTCGAAGTTAAGAGGCCTAATGACTCATGGCATCCACTCAAGAACAGAAAACCACTGAGGATCACTGTTCAAATCTGAATAAAGATATCAAACTCTGCAACAAAATAAGTGACACTGGGGCCGGAGCATACCTCTGTTTGCAAAATTATAGGGTACAACCACACAGCAACAAAAAACATAGTTTGAATTTTGTTCTGTCATTACACAAGAGATTTAAGACTGAAACCTTCTCCCCTAGTCCTGCTGAGACAACACATAACACACAAACTGACCCCGACCACCAGACATTTGATGGCCAAACCCCCACAGAGGCCTGTCACAACCGAACTGAATCCCCTCTGACTCCGGGCTGTCACGCTGGGTGGGGAGGGTGCGACGGAGCGAGCGAAGGACAGGAGGTGAGGAAGAGGAGCAGGGTGGGCACTCGTCGCATGGTAAGTAAGAAGCTGTGACACCGCAGCAGAGCCTCAGAGGCCCCAGGCCCACCTGACCCACAAAGACCTGACAGTCCACAAGCTGAAACCCGCAGACAAGAATCTTCCACCTCACGGCCTCAGACTCTGCAGTGATACACCATGAAATCACTGCAGCTCAAAAAGTGATGCTTCCATATTTCAACCAGATGTCACAACAACAGAAGTCAAGTACAAGCTGAGAAACAAATGGCAGATTAAAAATGTCAATCAAAGCAGTATAAATAATCTATTTATATATGCTGGAGGGTTTTGGCTCAATGAAACCTTGAATGCAAATGAAGAGATGTCTCGATAATTATTGCTGGATTTGCTGCAAGAGTGACCAAAAAATAGTTTGGGCTGAAATCTGTTAATTAAAAAAGTGTAAAATAAATTGCCTGCAAGTCAAGCCATCATTTCTCCCCTACAGATAATGCAGTAAGCCACAATTACATTTACCATGAAGTACGGTGTGCAAAATAGCCTTTAGGTCATTTTCTGCCTGAACATTCTCAGACAAGTTTTCCATTTTCACTCAGGTCATATGAAATGTAATAAATTTAGCACTAAAATCCACAGTAATACCTGAAACTTTTTAGCCCTATATACAAAACACAAGTAAATAAAAGCCTCTAGCCACCATCCCTGTGTATTTTTCTTGGCTGCTAGTCAACTGTGGCTAGCTGGCATAGGCTACTTCTGACAGCAAATCCCAGGTGTCCATGTCCAGCTGACTTTTTAAGGCTTACAGTTTTAAAAAACAGAATCCTGAGCATGCACACAGGATGGCAACACACATGTATATGATGCTAAACGATTAAAAGCTGCAGGCAACAGGAAAAGAGTCTCCAAATTATTATTATTTTTTCATTTAAACAGCAAATAATGCTAAGTTACTATTTGAGGTAGTGAGCTAGTTAGTGTTAAAAGCCTGTTTAATAACATAGTTTAATCAATTCCTTTCACAGTGTCCTTTCACCTGTATGTCTGTTTTCTTTTCTTTTTTTGCATTATTAGATTTGTTAGGTTTATACGATACGTCGAGAGACACTGGCAACACATGGTAGTTGCCTCTGTCAGCTGAGCCACCTGTACACCACCATGCCTGCTCATTTCTGCTCAGAGCTGAATGTTAACATCTCTGTATCATCTCCTCCCAAATCATTGTGCAGGTCAAATATGTAAAAATGCCAGAAAACAAGCACTGGCAGGGTAATCCCATCTCACCTCAGCCTCTCCTCCTCCTTCTTTCGTAGCTTCATGTCCCGTTGGACCACTTTCAGGACGTGCTCCGCCTCGTCGTCCGTCAGGCCCGACAGGTCCAGTTTCCGGCCCATGGCTCTTAGCCTCGCCACAGTGAGCTGCTGCTGCTGCTGTTCCTAGACAAGAGGAGGAGGAGGAGAGGCACAGGCGCTGCCGCTCTGGGGGCCGAGGCTGGGACGACCCTAAAGAAAGAAGCACAGATAAAAATTTACAGTGTGTGAATTTGTGGAATCAATTCACTCTTTTGGAGTGAAACGTCAACAGGCATTCATTAATTTATCATCAAACTCTGTAAGCTATGGAATTACAACATCAATGCTACTTGGCTTTTATTGTGCAGGCACATTTTCACAACAGCAAGCCCACTGGAACGTAAAGCGCCACTGAAAATGCATGAGCTCACCATGCAAATAATGCTGCAATGTTTGCTTTCATAAATTGTGAATAAAAGGTTTTGTGGCGCCATGCAGTTTATTGTCTGCTGCATGAATTTCCCTCGTTGAGCAGCTGAGAGTTGGTTTCCAAACCAAAGCCTAATGGCTGGAAAGATTTTTCTATTTACTGTTTCAGGTCACGGTCAGTTTGATACTTGAACTCGCCCTCGAGGGAAGAAACATTTGGGCTAAAAGGCAGTATTCAACATGTTCTGATATTTGTATGTTGTCTCATGAGTATTTTTTGAACTATATACAGTAATCATGGTCTTGTGAATGTAATTTTCACACACACTCAACTGTCGTTTCATTAAGTATAACTGGCAAAAACTAAAATCTTATACAACCATGAAATTAATCCTAACGAAGGTTATAATGATATGTTTGTAAACTTTCTGAGAGGCCATATTTTCAAATATAAAAAAGCTCATTTCTTTATTACCACACTACTGTTCACTAATAAAAACACAGTGAAACATCTTTTGGTTCATTCACTTTCCTGATGGTTTCTTTATTTGTCATGCATTTTGCAAATAAAAAAATCAAATCATTCATATAAATATTTGACTTTAGCACAAAACAGAAATGATGTTGGTGATAGACTTGGTCATAATCACTAATGTTAGCAACTAGCAACACATTTTAACGCAACACACAACAGCAGTATCAGAAATTCAAGAGTGTATGTTATTCTTCAGATTATTTAAATTCGTACAAACACATTTGTTCCTATGCTCTCTTTGGGATTATTATACAACATGCACGACTGTTACATGTTAGCAGGTTTCACGATTCCTGCTAACACGTCAGGATGAGCATGATTGGCTATAAAGTTGCACCTAACCCAACATTAATGAGTGCATCTTCCACATGTGCAACTGTACAGCATATTAAAGATAAATGGGTTTATATTTTAAGGATGCACATCTGATTAAGTTTGTGATTGAGCTAACCTAAAAACAGACCTGACACCTGTTATTTGTGAGTTGCGACTGGCATACACAAATTCAGTCTGAGGAGGAGGTAAAAGAACGGATGATGGAGAGGCAAGTTCGAAGCACGGCCCATGAAAATAAAAGAGGGATGACAAGAGGAAGGGAGAAAGCGGAGACAGATGGGGAGATGGACAGAAGGAGAAGGTCCATTAACTGCGGAGTCTAAACAAGATGGGAGAGCACTGGCAGTGGAGTGAGCAATGATGACTCAGAAGGCCAGACAATTATGTGCGTTCTATTATTGGGCCAATAGCTTCATCGACAGAGCACCTCTCCTCACGCTCAGCTTATCACTCATTCCCCCATTTCAGCTAAGAGCCTGGATCAGGATAGACTGCTGCTCAATTCAGTCACTGTTTATATTTCAAACACACAAAACAAAAATTGAACTTTTCTTTGGCTCATGTGCACCAACATGTCATTTACTACCTCTTGAAATTTAAGAGGAATTATTGCTTACTTGTCATTGTGAGATTCATCGTACTATTTCTAAAAGAGCATTATCCACCATTGCTTGGTTTCCTTGAGCAACAACACAGTAAAACAAACTTTAGTTTCTTTGTCTAAAATTGAAGAGTGGTTGTCATTTTGAAGAAAAGCCTCCAGGAAGCAAGGGGAATATTATTTTTCAAGTTATCCTTTGATTCCCTCTTTATAAACATCTCCATCAGATGCTTGCAAAGTCATTTGAATCAGTGGGAATATGTAACTCACAAGGGCAAATGCAAACACGCAGTGTGAGAAAGAGCTTTTGTCACATTCTCACCTACAAGGTAAAAAAAAGGTATAAAAAGCTCTGACATCTGCTATCACACAGTGTTCATACAGACATTCCATTCACAAACGCTCCTCATGCAGCCGGTGTGATAAGAGACCTTGCCCTCGCTTCTGAAAAGACATCCCAGTCTGAAAGAATCAGTTTTCACACACACAAAATGTTTGAATACATTCCCAGCTACATGTGGACATACATGTCCCAGCACGCATGTTGAATTTGTGCTCTCAAAACTACTTTTAGCGCATTTGACCGATTCTAACAATATCACAGACGATTGATTTGTCTAGATATAATGGGGATCATTTTAACCAGGGATAAACATGTGCACATAATATTACCATACTCCCTTACTCCTTATCAGCCACATCAGCTGATTTAGCGAACATACAACAAGTGGAAACCCAACATTGCAGTTTTCTTTGAGGGGTTCTGTGCCAAGATTTAGCTCAGTCAGTAACACTGATTTGCTTGGCGGTCTTAATGCTAAGCTAAGCCAACCAGCTATGTCCAGTGGAATCAATCAGTGGCATCAATTGTTTCATCTAAAATAAACCTTTCTGTTTAAGGGAATTAGAATTATTTTAGTCTCAAATGGCACTCTTAGGTGAATGACATCCGAGAACATCAACAACCATAACTGGCTTATCTAACATGCAGTATTTGTCTTTGGTCCCTTTACGAACATATAGAGGAGATAAATGCACCATTACTGTGTGGCCATTATTGTATAGCCACAAGGGAAGCCAATTATTCAGGCCTTCTTTTTATAGTGAGTGGTGTCAAGGACAGGCATGAAGCGTCATTTATGTCTGCGAGAGTGTCTGCCTCTGAAGCTCTAGTGACGCACACGCTCAGGGGCAGAAACAGATACGGAACACACAGAAAAATCAATTTTCCCTTGTGGCAGCTTGCTAAGACAATACACGCAGACATGTACACATCTAAACATTGTTGCGTTATGCCACAAATCCACACTTCCTCTATGAAGCAGCAACATCATGAACAACCTCTCAACAACAGCGGAGACAAGCTATCAGTGGTTGCACGGCAGAGAACAGAAAAATCCTCTTCACCAGTCACTGATTGGAGGCCGCCTCAGTGGTTCGATGCTTCAGCAGTCTGCTCAGTCGTCCCAGTGGATGCAGGTTGTGAGCTTAACTGAAAAATGTTGGTGAAGTGGTGTTAAAGTGAGCCCTGCAAATTTGCCTTCCAGAGTTTAAAGCTGTTATTTTTTTACTGAACCAACTATGAGACTGCACAATTACCAAACAGCCATAATCTAGCTTCAGAAGCCTTCTTTTGCAAATGACAAAATACACTGCAGATTATCACATTCCTGGTGATCACACAGTCTCTGATCAGTACACTAGGTCTGCTTGTGAGTGATTCTCAACGCACTCAACTCTAATTCCAGACAAACAACAATATTGGACAAAATCTATTTTGCAAAACCTTCATTATTGGAATCTGAATTTTCCCCCGGGGGAAATAGGATTTCGTTATAGTAGATCGAGCCAAAAATGGAAATTTATACAGACCTAGACAATAAATAGTAACACAACACATGGGATAAAAAAAAAAGATAAATAAATACTATGTGCATTATGTTACAAGATATAGAAATAAGCTAAATAAGAATAAGTAAAAATACAGCATATTTAACAGAAGATAACTTGACTTGATAACTTGATAACGTGTTCAGTGGTTACCTTTTTATAAATTTTTTAAATTCTCAATTTATCCAATATTTGCACATGAAAACAAACGTATAATAAGGTTAATGGGAAGAATGTGGCTATGCATTGTGGGTAATGGATGTGCCAGGAAAGGCAAGGAAGAGGAATAATCAGTTGAACTGATATTTCAGATTATGAGCAGCATGCAGTGAAATATGGGAATTTAAATTATCTGAATGATTTGTATTACCTCAAGGACTTTTGAGTTTAGTTGTTTGTTTATAATGACTATCAGCCAGATATGAAATGTTAAATTCACGTTTTGCAGGTCATTATTTTGTCAGCTATAAACTTTGAACAAGTGGTTTAGTTCTGACATTATAACATTCTGAGTTCAAATCAACAAAATGCAAAAACTTTGGTCATTACTGCATTTTGACTTGCACTACAACGAAAAACACAGAGCAACGTATTCAGACCAACACTCTCAGTGGTGAGAAATAGAGAATGGCTCCAGAGAAAATAGGTCACACTGATGCATCTCCCAGGAGAATAAACAGAAACCTAACTTCCCACCAAAGGACTACAGAATGTGCATTTATCAACCATGAAAATATGTTCAAACAAACACTAAATCACCCCAAGTACATTGCACACGCATAAAAGTGCCACTTCCTACATCAGGCTGCAAACCACTTGGATGTGCTGCTGTCCATCACCTCAGAGGATGGGCAACCTGAGGACAAGGCCCTGTTGGAGCACTTAAAGGGCAGGTGCAGCCAAGCGCTAAATGAACTGCTTGGTTTAGACACTGTCCATCGGATCAGCATTTTGTCACAGCCAGAGGGAAGGAGATTGAGAACGACCACGCTGAAATGAATATTTTGAACCGCAGGTGAATACAGTGAACCGACATCGCATACAGAGCTATTTGTGGTATTCTGCATTACATATTTATGAGCGGGACGTTTTGCTTGGAAAAATATGTGGTAATAGCTCATGGTGAGTGCTTTAAAATAAACCAAACCTTGTTTTCGTGTGTGACAGCCTCTTTTAGACTCGATGGTCATTTTTCTTCCAACAACCCACGTGACAGTGGAAACATAAGTGCTCTGGTTGTTTTTTGACCCAGGATATGACCACTATTTGTCGCGATGACATGAAGGTGAGTCGTCAGAGAGCAATGAGGAGCAACGTGAATGTGGACTATAAATGTAGTTCAGGGCACATGTGGTGCACTCAAATGCTCGACTAGCAGACAAGCTGTAAAGTAAGAAACACAAGTGAACAAGCCTGTCAGGATTAGAATCAGTTCAAGATACTGATAAATAGAAAACCTAATTCATATTCAGTAGTAACATCAATATAAGGGAAGAGCAGTCTTAACATAATGATACCTGGTATCATTTTTAAGAAAACACGTTGGTACCAGTAAAACTAGTTGCATTGATATCACAGCATGCATTTTCATTTAAATATATATTTTTTGTAACTGACTCAAATTAGCAACTACACATCTGTGTTTTGGTACCATCTGTTATACGTGACTACCCTGTAGACACTGACAGTTTACACCTGTGTTTGTCAAAATGTCTGCTGTAAAAAGGCCCATTATAATTCTGATACTACTTATAATTAGTTTTCCAAGCAGTGCTAAAATGTATCATGGCCTCTTCTCAAAAATAAGGGGGACCTGAAATGTCTGAACAGTTTATTTTTTACCTGCAGGGGTGCTAAAATACAAAGATGTATACAGTTTAGACACAACACAAAGCATTTGAATGTGGACAATATCCACCAGACCCTGACACAACTGTACTATTTGCTTTTATATATATTTAAGATTTATCTCAAAACACTCTTTTAATAAAATGTTTGTGTTCCCATTTCTACTTATGCTTATCTTATTTCTTTCTTGCCTTTACTAATTTCATTTGAATCTCCTCTTTCTGTCATATAAATGCCTGAATCTCCCTTAGGATCAATAAAGTATCTATCTTAATTAAATATGACCTAAAAAGGCTGGAAACAGGTTGAGCAAACAAGCTTCATCCCAGCAGCTTTTTGCCAACACTAAATATAAGAATACAAAGATAAGCCAAACAATGCTTAGTGTGTCAGAGATCATATTTAACCCAAACCAAAGTGTCTCACTCTACTGTACCCAAGTATCAAAACAGGCCGAGCATTAAAATCCTGATTGACGACTCGTGCAAGGAAAAGCCCCTTGATCATCTGTCACTGTTTGACATCTACAGTACCTGCTGTGTCACATCCATCACCCCCGGCCCAATTACCACTCTAGGCAGAGCAAGACAAGCAGATCTGGGTGAGGTGAGACTTGCTGCAGCTGATCTGTGAAGATATGTGCATGCATATTCACGCACTCTGTGCAGCACATGCAAACACACATTTCTTTTTGGGCCTGGAGTGTAAAAAAAAAAAAAAAATCAAAACAGATGCTAATTGAGTCTGCCTCTGAGTCACAGTGCATGTGGCAAAGTGTTGAGGACTACACTGTAACACCAGTGCTGAGAATGGGGGGGGGGGGGGGGGGGGGGGGGGGGGGGTCCAAATCTGGCAGCACAGTGATCTGTGTTTTCCTTGAATGAATTGTTACTCAGAATAGCAGAGGGGTTCAGGCAGAATGGGGGTGAATGGGTGGCTGGAGTCTCCCCTGCAAAAATATGAGTGTCAACAGGTGACAAAGCATAACAAGTGAAATAAAGTGCTCTGCAAACCAAGAGGCTGCCATGTAAGATGCTCATCTTGCATTCCTTTGCTTTAAACGGTTTTCTGCAACCATGGCGTGAGACAAAACATGACTTTAGTTTCTGAAGGGATCAATCTGCTCCAATCCAAACGTGCAGAGACACGAAGAGTTTCAAAAACCACCTGTCTCCACCCCACGTCCCTGCAAAACACGCCGCATCCTCCTGCATGTAAAACAACAACCCAGTCACCGGCTGCCACGCTTCCAGTGACTGATAACATCTGCGTGAAATGCTGCGGTGACTTAATATCACGGTGGAGCTTGCGGCAAACGCCAGCGAAGAAGAGGAGGAAGGAGGTGAATGATCCCAGAAATGTGGCAACACGCACCGAGCCTGAAAAACCACGCAGACACCTGCAGCTGATGCTTCCACCTCCATTCATTCCCGATACATTCACCTACACACACTGACAGTGGAGATTCACTTACACGGGGTGAGTGGGAGCCGGATGACCGCCGGGTACAGCCTCTGCCACGTTATCCCAGATTGTGGCAACAATGATAAACAAACAAACAGAACAGAGAGACGCGGAGGGATGCGCCTCTGCAAGTGTAAACTTCCGCGACACCTGCCTGCGTGTTATTTTTTTTCCTCCCTCTCTCTCCCCTCCAAAGCAGCAGCAGCAGCAGACGCAAGCAGCAATGAATGGGTGATCACGAGGTTTGTATTACAGGAGGAGGAGGAGGGCGCACGGCGAGCGAGGTGAGGCACTGGCACCTTGATTCTTCCTGTATGCAAAGTATAGTGACACAGTGGATGGAGATGTATGAGGGGCAATCAGAGATAGTAGAGTCAATTTCCTTGCAAGGCTAATCTGATATCTAATCCCATTTTATTTGTATCTCTGCTGCTGGCACCTGCACTGGACATCCTGCGCCTCAGTTTGGCACTGGAGGAGGAGGAGGAGGAGGAGGAGCGGGAGGAGGAGCAGGAGGAGGAAGAGGAGGAGGGACTGTGTTGGCTGGCTGCTCCATTCACAAAGCCAGTCACACTGCACTTAACCTCAGAGAAAAAATTCGCACATCCCAATAAATCATCAAGTGTCTATATATCTCAGGCTCCCAGGTCTTTGTCTGCTGGATCCAGCTTCATCCAATTGTTTGACTTTTAATTTCAAACCCAAAAAGCAATCTGGCTCTATAACTACACATTTCACTGCAACGTTTTCTGTTTCACCACGAAAACACCAGAGAGTCTATGCCTGACACACCGTCTCTGTTTATGTTATGTGATTGATTGTAAGAAAGATAACACAAAAACAACTGAAGGGATTCCCATGAAACTTGATGGAAGGATGAGAAATAGGTCAGGAGAGAAGCCATTGAATTTGGTGCAGATGCAGGATTTTCACTTTTCGAACATTGTGGCATAGGATGGATTTTAATGTTTTCCACAAGGAATAATTTATTTATCTTGATGAAAAGAATCAGGCACATTTAGGGAGTTGATATCTATAAGTGTGTGAAATTATGACCCACACATTCGGATACCCTAAGTCTTCCAGAGCTGTGGTTTGGCGGAGCATCAGAGAAGATGCAGATCAGTGTGCTGAGCCGAGGAGGAAAACTTGGCCCCTTTGTTCTCTTTATTACTGCACAGCATTCACAGGAAAAACCTGCTGACACTGGTGCATCGCAAAAACGCTTTCTGGGACTTTGTACTTGTTCAGCAAGGTACATTTTTAGTAAGATGAAGAGATCGCCTAACTCTGCAATTAGAGGCCACTTTGTAGAGATTACAAATCAAGCTGCACCAATGCTTTCTTTATCTTAAGTCTAATTAAGGCTGTATTTAACGAGAGATACTGCCAGGAAAGCTGTTCAAAGACGTGGTGCTCATGAGACCCCAGTTCTACTGACACAAATACCTCAGTGCGTCATTGTGGACTCAAGTCACACCCTTTATCTACATGCAGTTTGTACAGAATGGGTCAGAGTGCTGCTGCAGTTGCAAGTCTCTGTAATCTTAGGTATTTGATTTGTATCACAGTTTTGCCAACACTGAATGTGTTTTGCAGATAAGCCCAGAGAACATGTCTATTATTATTAAAGATAAAATAATTCATTCAAATATCAATATGCGTCAAATATGGCTGTGGTTCCCTCTCTGTCCGGTGTGTTATCTTCTCCGTCTGTCTCGTCTTTCATCATCTCAGGCCTGAAGTACACATACCTTGGGTCATAAACCTCAAACAGAGGCTCATACACACTGGTACACACTGTTTTCATAAACATTAACTGTTAAAAGCTGTATGGTATGATCAGGATTCCTGTCCAGGCTTGTTACTTTTCTAAACTCCATCTTTTATGGAGATATGAGGGACAATATTTCCGATAAAAGTGTACATTATTTATGCCGCCTGTTCTTTTTAAGGGTTGCACTCACTCTCACATTCAAACGTACTCTCAATTAGAGTCTCCACTTCACCTCACATCAATCTGCATGTCTCTGGACTGTGGGAGGAAGCCAGAGGACCCAGAGGAACCACAGGGAGAACTCAATGTCTATAGGCCATATATACAAACACATGCAGTAGGAGCTAGAATGAGCCGAGTGTATAAATACATAGTCGGGAAAATTATTACAAAAAAAGGATTAGTTAAATCTTTAACTCGAGCTAATGTGACTGCATATTAGATGTTCAGTGGTGCACTTTATAATGAGTGTACTTATTGTGGTTCAGCGCTCACTGCTCCGAGGTTTTAATAACACGAGTCTGGCTTGTTAAATTGCAGTTGTACTTGCTCTGTCTGCATGCTTTGGTTGAGGAAATTTGCATTTTTTAAAATAAAACTACAACAAGGGAATGCAGGAAACTCAAAGGTGATAGTTTTGACACAGATTCTAATCAGTTAAACTAAAATAATCCAGAGTGGGTATGAGGGGACGAAAGAGAAGCCGCATGACAGAAAATGCAAAAGAGAGAAATCTGTTGTCCTGGTTCAGTCACAGCACAACTGGGTCAGTTGCTCAGGGTTATTCCAGAGTTTCACATCAGCAATCCTCTGGTCACAAGCACATTTCTACAACCTTAAAACAACTGCTGGTCACATATATGTTGAAGTAAAGCTCATTATAGGCTCCATGCTCCAGTAATTCTGTTTATGCTTTACACTCTGCTGCTGAGTCACTTGCAGTGTGACCCTGCATCTGCTGCACTGAGGTGAATAAAAATCCTCAAATCAAATCCTCAAAGCTTGCCGGGGGAGTTATGATTGCTAAATTGGAATATTTAAAGTGACTAAGGAGAGCAAAAGATTTCTGGTCCTTGTATCCACGTCACATGCTGGAGTTACGTTGGGGCTTGTGCTTCACATGTGTGTGTGTAAGTGTGTGGATATTGTATCTGCTGTGACATTCAGTACTTGTGTGTTTGGAGAAAGATTACTGCTCCTCAGCCTCCATGTTGGCATTTCAGGCTCCTTCTCTCAGCGGGCTTCACTGCACACTATATGATCCTGTCCTTCAACCAAATGTCAGCCTTCAAAAAAACATACAAATGGTCAATGAATCATAACTGAACGTTAGCAGCCAGCGCCAGCTTATTCATGGATAAATGAAATTTGTACCTGTGATGTTTATGGAAAGGGAACAATTACTATAACTTCTTACAGGCAGACAAGGCATCTGTCAAGTGTGTACTCACTGGACAAAGAAATAGCACACCTCAGCCACCAGGGGGCCTCCAAAATATAACCTGCCATTTTGTTGTTCTTGTTTTCATAACACATACAGTATGTATGATTTAGTTTTACCCCAATTTGAAGTGATTTTTTGATGCAAACATATGCGCCAAATATAACAAATTTACACTTTAGAGTGTTGACACAGTTTGGGGCATTGTGGCTTGCGCTATAAAATAACAAGGATGAATTTGTGTCCAAAATGTGGTGAATTAAGAGGCACTACACAAACGTTAATATGCATTTCAACTAGAGTCATGATTCTCAATTTATAAACACAGCCTGTGAGAAAAATAAAATATATATATAGAAAAGCAGCAGCATGTTTAAACTGTCAAGGTTTCCCAATGGTATTTCCTCCAGTAGCTTTCCTCAATTTTATTTTATTTGATCACAACATACATTATCTCAAGACACTGTAGTAATGTTGAGACCTTACAAATCATATCACAAAAATATTATCAAACCCAACAGCTCCAATGCATAATGAGCAAACACTTTGATGACTGTGGAGATAATTAAAAAAAACTGCCTTTAACAGGAAGAAACCTGAAGCAGAACCAGGCTCCCTGTGGGGCGGCCATCTGTCTCGACCGGTTGGGGTGAGAAGAGAAAAATGGGGGAAAGAGGAGAAATGGGTGGAAAAGAGGAGAGAGAAGAAAGAGACCAGGAATAGATGTTTAACCGATATATCTAAGGACCGGTAGAGTATTAATACTAATATTACTAATAAAGTAGTGTCAGATCTGGAACAGCAGAATCAGAAGATGGGGTTTGTGTGAGTGATATGTGAGATGTTTGGCAAAATGATGAACTTACAGAACAGGTGAGTTCTTTCGATTGATTGTCAGGATTGAACAGCATAGTTTTTTTTATCCTACCATTAGGGGAAAAAAATGTTTCAGTGTCTATTCATGCTTAGAGACAAAGTGACATATCGTCTGTTATCCAGAAGGCAGCAGGTGCACTTAACCTAAGAGAAACACTCAGTCACTCTCCTCAGCGATCCATGATCTTTATTGACCTACATACATGAGCCCGCCTCTCTGACCACAGCGGTAACTGTGGTAATATCCTTCTCCTGTTGACTTTACTCTGATTTCAAGAGGGGGCAGCTTTTCAAGGCTGCCTGAGCCTGATTCAAGTACATGCACTGTATGTTGAGAAAATGTTCAAGTGAAAAATACATTTCCAACCGAGTGAGTCAGACTGTTGAACTAGCTGAAATCATTGTATGCTCTTTATTCATTTGAATATAATCATTTGTCGTAATTTATTTATGCATCAAAGTATTTAAAGGCCTCAGACACCACAGACCTTTGGGTCAGAGTATTGATTTTGGATTTAAGTTCCTGCTTTTAATCCCACAATAATGTGTGATAAGCCCCTTGCTGTCTATTTCCTAAAGCTGAGATGAGCAACATGTGAGTCTCCCTCTGCGAATGTTGCCTTGTTCCCGTCTGCTTTGGCTCAGCTTGTTCCATATAAACATACATTGTCTAGTTTGTCATTGATGAGGTGGAGGTGAAGCCTCTGCCTACTCAGCATGACTAATTGCCCATAAGTGGCCATTGCAGTGTTGGAAACAAAGAATCACAAAAACCAAACAAACACAGTGAGTCACTCCATGCATTGTGCAGTTAGGGACGAGTAAAGATAAATATCTATAAGTTTATAGAGACAGACGGAAAATGAAACGCATTTCACATTTAATATTTTTTTACATTCCATAAATATCTAGATGGATTTGGCATTTTTTCGATTTTCAGAAATCCCCAGGGTGGATGAGAGGGTCCTGAAGCCACTTCCCCTGTTACCGCTCATAAATAAGCGCTAATTGTCCTCGGGTAATTAGTTAAAGCAGCATCTGAGAAAAAAACAACCTTTATCTCCTGGATACACTATTCACAGCTGCAGCAGTGGCTGTAAGTACGGGGGTGCAGGCAGGCAAAGATAGAAGGAGGCAGTTTGCTGATTTGCTGCAAATATACCCTCAGAGCAGATATTGATTGAGACTAATTTCATTAGAACATGAAGAAAATTGCAATACAAGAACATTACAGTGTTTGGAGAGTGGAC